TCCGGAATGTCCATACAGCTTATGTACAGAAGGTTTTCAGAAGAGAACAGTGACAGATGGGGAGAGGGCCACTTTATTTCCCATTTCCCTTTTTTTCTGTACTTTCCCTGTAACAAGTAATTATTTTTGTGATGAGGAAATCCCTAAACAAAAGTAGTTCCCAGAAAATAAAATAACCGTTTTATGGTTTCTCTCGTACGCAACATACTGAAAACCCACGTGTGGAACTTGAACTAATGTAGAGTCAGAGTATCTCCTGTTTCCATGGACTAGTCAAACGTTTTGACCATGAAGTTGTACTATACATATTTTAAATTGTTTATAGTAAGTTGATATTTTTTTAATTTTTAAACTTAATATAGCAAACTTAAAATGAACTTAAACTTATAAAGCAAGCAATTAAGTGCTTATTTTCCTTGTCTGCTATTTGAAGTAATGAGCACAGCTGCAGATCTCTATGTGTATATCTCTCTATTTTTTTTATTGCTTGGCAGAATGATTTGGAAACGTCAGTGCTAGTGCCCGCGCTGTCCTAGACGTGCGTGTTAGCACTCCCGAGCCTGGCCGCAGTGAGCGCGTTGTGGCAGGGGCGCGCACGGCTGGGACTGACCGTTGAGCCCGGGGAAGGAGCACCGGGGAGGGTCCAAGCCTGCTTCCAAAGCCAGGTCCAGCACACCGCCGTTCCAGAAGCTCTCTCTTGCTGACGGATGCGTACAGGACACAGGGGAAATAGCTTCCAAAGCCAAATATCCATTCAAATTTTAATACTCTACATAAATATTTATGTTGGGAAATATGTCAATTTATGCTTTTCCAAATTTTAACCTTAATATCTAAAATATTGGGTGTGATGCAAATTATACTACGTTTATTAGGAATATGACCTCCTGGAGTATTCTGTTGATATTATATATACATATAAATATTCAAAAAAAATTCAAAGTAGAAAAGTAATAACTCTAAAAGTAAAGCCATAGAGAATTTCCCATATTGAGGAACTTGGCTTCTTCAATGAGCCTTGGAATCTGAAGTTTATGGAATCTAAAGTCCAGAAATATCCAAAAATCAGACGATAAACTGAATGTTTAATCACGATGGGCAGACTCTAAAATACTCTAAAAAATATTTTTAGTCCCATTATTTCTAATATCACTTTCTTTGGGTAATTCTGACCTAAAGTATTCTTCAGCTGTTAGATTTCATAGATCTTCGGTGCATGTGGGCGGGGGTGTGTGTGTGTCTGCACACATTGTTGTTAAGGAAGGAACTGTCTAGTCACCTGCAAAGAAAAAAATGGATACAGTCCCAAATTACATGTGTAACGCCAGTCGTGTCGGGACATTCGGACTGCAGATGACATGGAGTCTTAAGACTCAGAATCAGGTCAGCTGCAGAAAAACCACCTTTTGAGTTCACACCATAAGTGAGTATCACCAAGCTGAAACATTTCACCGCGTTTACTCTAGGAAATAATGGGGAGAGTTTAAAAATGTAAAATTTTAGTTCAGTTAGTTTGGGGCAGAACTTGCTTACTTGAAAAACCTGGTGCTATGCACATGTATCTGCCTCTCCTTTGTAAATACCACTCCAATTTTATCTTCCAGTATTCAAATCAAAGTTTCACATTCTAAGTGAGTCTTAGGTTTTTCTGAATCACTTGTAAGTTGTCCAAGTGAGAAACATGTGATAGGTGAGGCTTTTGGCACTGGCCACAAACACCCCTCCAAACAGGATTCTGAGGTTCAAGTCTGTTTTTGTTCTTGTTTGTTCTTTTCCCTTGTAGGAACAGCTTTCACTATTGTTTACCTTATCTTTAATACAACATGAATCAGTTTATTGATTTCAAACATCTAACCAAAAAAGCTGAGGTAAAGCCCATTATTTGTGGTTCAAACTTATTTGGAAAAGGGAATGTAATTTGTGTCTCATCCCCTCCCCCACCCAAGTTTTGTTTCTGCTTTTGGCTGGGTTTTGCTTCCCCTACTTTTAATCCCCAGGGAATATTATTTGCACAAATTTAGTCTTTAAAAAACCCTAAAACCTGAATAGGAAGTGGTAAACTCTGCTCAAAACGAAATTAAAAGATAGATCATCCTGTAAAATAACTCTGTACGTACTTTCCTTTAATTTTCTCTCTGTTGACCGTACATGTTGGAGAATTGTGGCCACTTGTGTTGGGGAGAAATACCCTTTGCTACATTATCTGTCTGTTACTTTCTTATTCTGAGTTTTGTTTGTGTGTCTAATAGTTGAAAATAAACCATTCCATGTCCCAGTACAACCCACTCACTGCTTCATCATGTTTTGAGTGTCACGCGTTTGTATTTTATATCGTATTTCAGTATTCAACTTTCTCATCCTGTCGTCAGGTAGGGAATTGTGCAGCCTGTTCACTTTCTGATTTGTCTTTTCAGATTATTTGGGGCTTTTTGTTTTGTTTTCTTTTTTCTTTTTCTTTTTTTTTTTAGCTTTAAACCCTAAAACCACCAACCTATTTTATTATAAGGTTTCCTTATAATGACTTTCCATTTTTGTATGTATAGCAATGGCCCCCTAAAAATGTTGGTTCAACATTTTAGGTGATAATACTTATTTTACTTTATGTTGGGAATTACTAAGATATTTTAGTGCACCTAGCAAATGCTAGCCTGCTGTATACAGAAGGTTGTTACGTTATACTGTAAATACTTTGTAAGTATGTGGTAAGAAAACACCCATTTGTATGGTGGTGTGGGGGAGCCCACCTCTGTCTTTCTCTCTCCCACTAGATCACAAAGGCTGCTGTCAGGCACGTTATCTCAGAGCAGGGAGGGAAAGAGCAGGCTGCCCTGGGCCCACCTTTGTGCTGGAGTTCGCCTGCTCTGCCCTTTCTGTTTAGACACAAGACTGACTCCTCTGACGAAGTCAGTGCGGCCCTTTCCCCAGGGATGAATAGCCAGGTCACGAGCTCTCTCTGCACCTTTCATAGCGACCAGGCCCACCTGCAGCAGGATCCGCCCACAAAAAAGGGGGTCATAACCAAGGGTATTCTTTGGCACATAAGGTCAACCAGTTCTTCATTTGTATCTACCAAGCTTTGCGCAAAATATTAAATTCCAAATCTGGCTGTCCTTGGTACTCAATCTTTAAATAGATGACAATTAGGATATAGACAGTGTTATAAAAGGCCAAGCCTGTAACTTGATAGAAACATTTTCAGATGAGAGTACAATGTAATGTTCACAATGTGTAGTAACCATTTAAACATACACCGGTTTTCAAGTTTGGAATAAGTTTGGAATCCAGCCTTTTTTTCTGGTATTATAGAATATTAACCCATGAAATTAGGAACAGTTGCACATTTTTAGAAATTTGACCCCAATGTATGACCAGGGTCGTGAAGAAAATGCAGCCTCATGGGGACGAAGGAGAAGTCATCTGTGCAGCCGGCCTTCCGCTCAGACAGACACCCACGGGGACAGTTCAGCCTGCCCAGGCTGACGGATGAACTCCAATACAGATCATTTTGTGTATCAGATGAGAGGACCCTCTCACTATTGTCTTGGCATTTTAAGAGAGTACTTTATCTCTAAAACAGCGCAGTTTTAATAAATTATAGATCCGTAAATGTATGATGAAAAATTTAATTTCCAGGCATAACAAATTGATCTTTTAGAAGTTACATAAGCTTTCCATCTCCCTGAAATGTCCCCCCTGCACTCCCGTCCTTGAATTCCTACTCACCTGTCAAGACTCAGCTTTCATTTTATATACTTGATCCTTTCTGTCATAATGTAAAGTGATTAGAACTTCCTTCTAGGCAAGGAGAAATGCCAGAAATTCAGCACACCAATCAGGAAAAGGGCATTAGATCGTTAGAGTTGGCTGTAATCATCAAGAGGCTCTCCCGTGCTTTATCGCTGCAGAACGTTCCACCGCCCATCACTCCCCACTCAGTCATTCTGTGGACGTGAATTCCCCGAGGCTCGCTGGAATTGGCTGCAGACACCAGGCTGGCTCCCAGTCTTGGCATTGGGATCTCATTCCGTAAGGATTGTTCTCCTAGTCTTAGGCCATGGCACACGGAGACCAGGCGGCGCAGCAGCCTCAGGACTGAGGATAACTCACTTAACGACGTGGGGTTTCAACGCGATTCCATACTCTTCATCAGCCTTCTCTTGAGCATTGACCCAGTGACCTAAAGATACAGATGACTCCATCTATGTTTGTAAAATAAAACACCAGTGGGACTCACAATTGATTGAAATTGAATAAAAGTCATTTCCAAAGAATGTGAATCCTGGGGTAGTGAGGTCATTAAATTAACCAGCCCTCTTAAGAGATGGATTATGGATGAAATACTTTGAACACAGCCCTTCAAAACCAAAATGTTTAATTTTTTTTTTCATATCACATCTGTCCTGCTATCTTCTATCTTGCAGGGAATACTCTCTCATGTTTGTAAGTAAAGCTGTATTTACCATCATAATCTATAGTCAACTGCAGCTTCCTTTGCTCCAAAACCAGGGACACAGAACTGTTTCATTTCTGATGTGTCTCTTAACTCGATGCTAGTAAAAGCAGCAAGTGGTGGTATTTAATATACAAGCACTTCAAATTCCACAGGAAATGTTTACACAATTTTTTAAAACATGTGTCCATTACACTAGCTACCTAGAAGTGGTAATACTTTTTTCCTCACCAGGTTGCCATTGTGCTGAGTATTTGGGGGATTTCTCCTTTGTAATTGCCTTGACACCCTCTTGTAAGCCATATGAGAAATCAGTTTTCTTGCTCTAGATAATACTATCTAGGTTAAGATACAAAAGTGATATTGTCCCCTTGGATCTCTTTGGGTTTTTTTTTAAAGATTTTATTTATTTATTTTTAGACCAAAGGGTAGGGAGAGAGAAAAAGGGAGAGAAGCATCAATATGTGGTTGCTTCTCATGTGCACCCTACTGGAGCCCTGGCCCACAACCCAGGCATGTGCCCTGACCCAGAATTGAACCGGTGACCCTTTGGTTCACAGACCAGCACTCAATCCACTGAGCCACACTGGCCAGGGTGGAGCTCTTATTTTATAAACCAGACTTGCCTCTACTGACTTTGAACTCTTTACCTTCTCACTCACTAGAAATAGCTGTTACTGCTGGTGAGAGTGTGCTGGAGGGACACAGCCAGTACAGCTGTGTTAAATGTCTAATCCCTCAAGGCGACCACTTGCTGGAGACAGTGCTAACTTGGATTTTCTAATAAGGATATATTTTTAAATAGCCCTTAGAGTAGTTTTCCTTCCCGAATAGCCATTCTCCCAATTCAAGGGCAAATTACCCATTTTAATTTCTTGGGTTACTTATTTTAATTTCACTTTTCAGAAATGCAATAAGAGCTAATGTAGTCCTTTTAAGCTATAAAATACTGGTACATGTTTTACCAATGATAATTGATTCCTGCTATACTTCATTTTTTCCCTATAGCCTTAGCTCTTCAAACTCACCCATAACTAGACTAGGAATGATTACAAACCTGGCAGAACCCCACGTTTTTGAACAGAAAAAGAGGAAACCGCACATCGCAGCATGTGCTTGGGGCAGGAGCCAGGAGGGCCAGGTACGCCTGCACCTTCTGTCTGGATCAGCAGCCCTTGAGTGATCAGGGAACTGAGCATGGGAGCTTGTCCTGTTCTACCTGCCCCCACCCTCACCCCAATTCTCTCGTGTAGAAAACCCTCTGACTCCAGGGGTCATTCTGGTGTCTGTTTCGGTAGGGGGTAGGAGCTCCACCCCTCCGGAAGGGAGACTGTTAATGCACAAGGAACTGCACGCCTGGATCACGTTCACACGGGGGGCTCTCAGCCTCCCAGTTCATCCTCCCACGTCACGTTCGTTCTTTCACGAATGTAACGAGAGGTACGGTGATTTCTGGCATGGTTCCGTGGCCCATGTCCATTTTGAGCAACAGTGACTGACTCAGATAGACACAGGACAGGATATGATTCGATCTTCTAACATCACACTGATGACCAGGAATACAAAGTAGAGGAGGAACATCGTGAAGCCCAGGATCTTGTTCATTCTCCATTTGCACGAAGCGATTGAAGAGATCACGAACAGGAGCATGAGAAAGAGCAAGACGATCGCACAGAACAAGCCGTTGCTGCTGACCGGGACAGGCTGCAGTCCGTTGAGAAGAGAGAAAAGCAACCAGGGAACAGGCAGGCTGCGAGATTGAAAAAACAATGTGAGTATTCCTCATGTTGAATTCATCCCCTGTGCTTCAGCTGTATTTTACCATTTACAAAGCACGTATTTTACCACACACACACAAATCTGTGAAATAAGGCAGCAAATATTAGCCCCATTTCACAAAAGAGGATACTAAGAAAATTAAATTACATGCCCTTGGACTCACAGCTAACAACTGGGAGACTAGACTGAAACCGAAGTTTTCTGGGCCTGGGTGTTTTATTTCACACTAAATCACGTCTGTGTGACCCACCCAGACCTGTGGACGTGGGACTCTCATCTCTAAATTCTTACGATAAGGCCCAGCTCAGGATAACATGCTTTAAATTCTTCAGTGATCAGGACCCCCGCCCCCCCCCCACATGCCCTTTCCCTGCCCCAACCATACCCTCACATAAACGAATTCAAATTTGAAACCAAAGCCACCACTCAAGTCCAGGATGTGACTGGGGGGATGCAAATAAACCAGGCGAGTAAGGGAATGGGTCCGGAGGCTGCATCATTTGCTTATTTATACAAAATGCGTGTAGAGCTGGCAGGACTCCAAATGCAAAGGAGCAGGGATATCAGGAAGCAAAAATGAATCCTACCCCCCCCACCCCCGCAGGTCAGCGGCAGAACATTTGACTGTATTTGGTGTTGGAATTCAATGGACTTCATTTTTCAAGTCATCTACTAGGCAGCATTTTAGTTCTGTTATCTCATCTGGCTGTGACAAATGAAGGGGGGATTCTTTGTTGCCTTATAGAAACCAGCGATATAAATGCCCTTTGATTCCATGTACAAGGAATGAAGCAGAAACCCGGTGAACAGAGCCAACACAAGGTTTTGCAGTCTTACTTAACGTGCCTCAGGAAGCGACTTCGCCACTCACCCCACGGTGATATCAAATATGTTACTGCCCACAGAGCTGGACACGGCCATGTCTCCCAGGCCTTTCCGAGCGACAATCACACTGGTGATGAGGTCAGGGATTGAGGTGCCTGCTGCCAGGATCGTCAAACCCATAATCTCTTCAGAAATCCCTATTGTTTCACCGACCTAGTAAACAGTGAGAGTGGTAAGAAACCGTGGCAACAGCAGGTGGAAAATCTGAGGCTCTTTAAAGCACCGACCCCACACTGTTGGACTCTGTGCACACCCAGCACTCCCAGGGAGCTCGGCACGCGCCCTCGGCCTGAGGGAGGTAGGGCGAGGCGGAGACGGCCACAGAGAGACAGAGAGCGGGCCCCTGCTCACGGCTTCAGGAGATGACTCTGCTCTTGTCTAGCTTGAACTAAAAGTCCATCTGTTCTATCACCTGTCACTGCCATTCAAACAACAGCACCCTCTGCTTCTAAAAGAACTGCCCCTCCAAAGATCTGTTTGTGTCACATTTTCATTTCTAGAACCATGGACACCCTGCTATATGCCAGAGACCGAGGGCGGAGACAGAGGTGTGAGCAGCACGATACCGACCCTCTCAGCCTAGTGAAGGACGGAAGCTTGGAGACAACGTTTACGGCTCTGTGCTAAGTGCAAAATTCCAGGTAGAGCAGAACTGGTGAAGATGCCCGAGAGGAGGCAAAACTGAGCTTGCTCTCGTGTGGGAGTACGATTCACCGGGGGAAAGGAGTGGGAGGTGCCTGGCGGAGAGAGCAGGGAACACGGGTGGTCAGAGCAGACTGTGAAGGGCCTTCTGTGCTGCAATGTGAACGTACGACAGAAGAGCCACACTTGAAAAGCACTATAGTCACTGAGACAAAAAGTCTGCTTGTAACAGTGTAGAGACTGTACAAACACTTGATCCCCAACATTCCCTGGAAATTTGCCCTGAAGGAGAAAGGGGTCCCTGGGGCTTGCTGACACAGGGTTTAGTGCCTGCTGTTCACTCACCTGGTGAGCCCACCACACCATGAGGTATGAGAACGTGGCTATCCATATGATGGATCCCAGGAAGGTGATAACAAAAAACTTCCTAGATTCCTGTTTGGAAGTTTAAAAAGAAAGAGAAGTTGCAGAGGCAAGAGGTCTCTGGCCTCAGAATCAGTGATGGGATCAGCTGGAGGAATGATGGAGAGGGTCTAGAGACCATTGAGCTGCAATCTCTTTCCGGCAAGGAACCCGAGAGGGCCGGGCCTGGACAGGTCTGGTGGCCTACAGGGGTGTCCGGACAGTAGGGAGTTCAGCAGTCGCCAAACTGGACAGAGCTATTTGCCTGCCCCAGAACCAGACCGATCTATGTGTTTAATGTGGCTTCTGCAACGTCTCTTTGCCCTACCCCTTCCTCTGCAGATGCAGACACGGAATATGGAGTGCTTTTGGGTGGGGCATGCTAGTCAGCTCTTTCCCTATAACTAGGGAGCTGGGAAGAAACAGCACCTGTCGCCCTGGGTTTTCACAGGAACCCTGTGAAACGTGGAGGGGTGTAGTGGCATCATTCCTCCGTTAAAACAGGATACGAGGTAGGAGTCAGGGAGCAGCTAGTTCACATTGCTTACAGTGGTGCATAGAAGCCCATTCTAGGGCCTCGCAAGCCCATCGGTGTGTCCCTAGGTGTGTGGTCCCCTCCAGAGCTGCAAATTCTAGCCCAGATCCTCCCTGTGGTTGAGTCCTGCCAAGCTGATCGACCCTGTCTCCCACCCCCTTGGGTGGGATGCCTAGAGACCTCCCGGCCTCCCTGCAGATCGACAGCCTGGGGTTCAGCTGGGCAACCTCACCAGCCTCCGGACGTCGGGCACCGTCAGCCACAGCGGGAACACAATGGGCAGGAGGAAGAGGTAAATGGCCTGCTTCTGCCGGGTCTCGGGCCACTCCAGGGACAGAGGCTCCTCGTTTTCTTCCTCTTCCTCGTCTTCCTCGTCCTCATCCTCGTCCTCATCCTCCTCGTCTTCCTCATCTTCACTGTCACCTCCCTCACCTCCTCCTTCACCATCTGCACCTTTCTCATCACTTTTGGCTTCACCTTGACATTCGGCATCGACTTCCTGCTCTTCGGTTCCACCTTCGTCACCTTTCACTTTGCCATCTTCTCCTTCTGCTGGGAGTTCGCCTTCACCTTCACCATTTCCTCTTGATTCTGCTGGGACCTCATCTTCGCCATCGCCTCCGCCACCACCCCCTTCACCACCTGCACCTTTCTCATCACTTTTGGCTTCGCCTTGACGTTCAGCATTGGCTTCCTGCTCCTCGGTTTCTTCGTTTCTCACCTCGCCATCATCTCCTTCTGTCTGGAGTTCACCTTCACCTTCATTATCTCCTTTTCCTTCTGCTTCAACTTCACATTCACCTTCCAGCTGAGGTTCGTCTCCGCTCTGCTGCCCACTTTGGCCGTCTCCGCCGGCCGTTTCGCCTGTGCCCTCAGCTCCAGCCACAGCTCCGTCCTGCAACCCAAAGCCGACAGATTAACATGTAGTAACTTCCCTGCTTGTTTTCCTTTGCAGTTTCTTCCTATTATTTTTGTTGTCCTCTCAGAATGTATCTAAAGCTTTAGTATGAGGAGAAAACTAGTGCAATTATTCAGCAAAATTCCCTTCACAACATTCCCACCCAGTGCTGGTTTAGTCTTTATTCAGTCATTACCAGGGACAGAGAACTCACCGCCTAAAGCAGCTTCTATCGTCTTTGGCAACTCCGATCGGTTTGAAGTCCACGGTAGCTCCAAGGAGCTACCTTCTGTGTACGCGTTTACTCTTCAGAGGCACACAGAACAAAGCTAATCAGTCTTCCACGAGACAGCGCTCCTCCCTGCATTAAAGCTACACAGGTTCCTCTGTCTTTCCCTCATATAGTGGCCCAGAGCCTTGTCCCATCCTGGTGAACTCATTCTAATTAGCTTATATCCCATGAGGAAGCTTCTAAAGCTGAATGCAGAGCAGTGCGCCGAGTTTAATAGGGTTATCACCTCCCTTGTGTCGGGTACTATGCACCCACTGATGTTGCACGGTATCCTTCGGTGGTTACATCACATTGCTGGGCCCCCTAACCTGCTAAACTGTTATATCACCTCCTATGTGTAAAATGATGATAATACCTACTTTGGGGGGGAAGGGTTATGTGTCAGGCACCATGCTTAGTGGTATAATAATAATAGCTAGCAGTTACTATGTTTCATGAATCGGCTAATTTATGATACAGACAGAATTAAACCCATCTGATAGATGGAGAAGCCAGGGTACAGAACAGTTAACTAGCTTGCCCGTGCTCCACACAGTTTGTACGTGATGACGCTGGGATTTGCATATGGCCAGTCCAACTCAGCCGCTTAACCACCAACCTGCCCTGTTTTGCAAAGGCCAGGGCCAAATGAGGTCTTTGGCTCCCAAACCTCAGCGCGTGGGGAGCTCATTAGAATTGCACATCTCCTTGCACCACCTGGCCCGGCTGAATTAGAATCTCTGGGTGCGGAGGACAGGAGTCTACTTTAACATGCTCACAAGTGCCCCCAACAGGCCCCCTGCAGACCAGTGTTGGGGAACCATGGACTGACTCCACGCACCCCAAAGCCATTGATTCTGAGACTCCTCAGACTGGGCTCTCAGCTAGTCTATAATAACACGCCGGTCCAAGCCCTTGAACAAATGACCTGTGTGCTCATGGAGCAGGTTTTCTGTGACCAACTTCCTGACACAGCCAAGCCCCAAGGGATGCTCAGTGATTCTCCACTCTGCTGCATGCTAAAGCCACCTAGAGGCTTTAAAAACATTCACACCCTAGGACTCACCCCACATAGTCTGGCCTAATAGACTGAAGGCGGGGCCTGGGCATTTTTAACATTTCCCCAAATTATCCTACTATGCAACCAGGGTTAAGAATCCCTGATGAAGTCAAATGTTAACATTTGTGAGGCTTTGCTTTGAATTGGGAAGGAAGAATGAGAAGATTTTGGTCTGAAGTTGTCCCTGCCCTACCTCCCCAGCCCCATCAGGAGAGAAGGTTTCCTGGAGACGACGATGAGTCATTTAAGTCGATAGGCACAGGAGTGTCTGCCTGGCCTGTGTCCTCTTCTCTAAGAACTGTCACCCCTCAGAGTCCCTTCTTCCACACCGAAGTCAAAGCACCCCACCTGTCCCTGCCAGAGCTGATCGGACACAGGCTGGACCCCTGCCCATGACCTGGTTTGAACATACTCTCTCTTCTGGGACTGGGAGCCAGTTGCTGTCTGACACCCCAGCACACTGGAGAACAGACTGGAGGACTGGGGGGGGGTGGTCGAGCGTGTGCATGCTAATACGGAGCCAGTGGGGCCGGGCTGCCAGGAGGGGACGGAGCCTGCACACAGAGAAGGGGGTGTGAGGGAGAGCAGGGCATGGAATGAGAGGCCATCAGGGACCTGGACACCTTCTCAGGCCCAGGGCCAGCTCCCGGGGCCACCAAGCTGGGCTCCACTTCCTGCGCTGGGGCTCCTCCTCATCCCTTTTCTTTGAGCTGGCTATCACAGGCCTGCTCAGGGTACCCACAGCACCATGAAGGTATCTTAGACACTGGACCCAAAATTGCTGGCTTAAGGGTATGACATAATTGAGTGCTTCTGGGTATCAAAAAAAAAACAGTGATGGAACTTGCAAACTGAATGCTTATTCATTACCAGTCACTGAACCTTATTGAACATAGCTGCGTGCTCTGAGTTTCTCTCTGTGGTGGAGACAGAGATGACTCAGAATGGATTCTGCCTTCAGGAACCTCACCACCTAGCAGGGGAACCAAGAGAGACTCTTGGAGTACAAGGAAGGCAGCAATAAGAGTCCTGAGTGGGGAACAGTGTGCCGTAGGCATTCAGACTGGGGGATCAGGGAAGGCTGATAGCGAGGGAGGCATCTGCACTGGCCTGGAGGGAGATCGGGAGATGAGGATGGAGGGGAAAGGCATTCTGGGGAAAGAGGCCATGTGGGCCAAAGGCTGGAGGGAGAACAGCATGGAGACGAGAAGCCCGTGTGGCTGCTGCATGGTGAGAGGCTGTGAGGCTGTAAAGACAGCAGCAGTGCCAGGACTCAGGAAGCCCTGTGGACAAGGCCAAGGTTACCCAGCCCCCCTGCCCCTGGCATGTCAAGCTGACTGGTGTCACTGTTCCTCAGTTGCTGATAGTCCCTAACAGTTATCCATTAGTTTTTTACAGCATGTGACAGCTGGCGACCTGTTCTCCTGCATATTCCCACACTCATACTAGGGTGTTATGGTGAACAGGCCCCATGAGGTATCTGATCTTCACAGTTCATTCCAGAGGAATGAACCGCAAACAGCATTTCAGGCCTTTGGGGACAAAAATTTCGGTCGGCAAGCCCTCCCCTGGGCCTCTCAAATGCCTCCACCTGAGAAGAGGCTGGTGCCTACCTGACTGCCAGGATCCGCCTCCTGGTCATCCTGGACATCTGGAGCAGGGGCAGGTGTGACCGTGACTGTAGGGGGCTTGGCTGGCTCCTCCTCTTTAAAGGATAAACACGGGACAGGTCAGAAGGGTGCCAGGTGTTGGGGGCAGCTGGCAGAGGCTGCTGGGAGTGCCTTCAGGGCCATTGGACTTGTCCACTTCAGGACCTCAGAAGGGAGTTTCTTGTTGATAAGACAAGGAAAATGACATGATGTGAACTGTTGTCGTCCCGTCCACGGGGATGTGGAAAGACGAGACGGAGCCATCCCTGCTCCCCCCGTATTCAGACACTTCCACCCTGGCCAGTGTGGCCCAGGACACTGCGAACAGCTTGGGCAACTGGAGCAGAGAGAGGGCAAAGCCCCAGCCCTAAGGGTCTGGCCGATCCCCCTACCAACCACTCGGAGAGGATGCTAATGAAGTCAAAGACGGCAGCTGGGAAGGCTTGGAATGTCTGGAGAGCTGGGCTCGAGTACAGGCTCTTTGCTTCTTGGCTGTGTGGCTTCCGGCAAGTCACTTGACCTCTCTGAGTCTCCCTGGTCTATACAGTGGGAACAATGACCGCTGCTCTGCCTCCCTCCCAGGCTTCCTGGGCACCTCGGGAGGGCTGGTGTGCTGCACAGAGCCTGCAGGGCAGCGGCTATCTCGCTGCCCTGCTCCAGCTGCCACACAGATACTGGACTTCTGTGTTGCCAGGCCTCTGGCCTTTCTTCCTTGGGGCTGCTGGTCTCAGGCCCACCCCTAGCAAAACCATCCTTGTGTAGACACGGCGGGGAAGAAATAGAGTCCAACAGTCTAATCTGCAACAAAGAAGTGGGAGCTCCACAACCTTCAGCCTGGCCCTGCCTACCCCATCTAAAGGGGGCACAGTGGGCGCAGTGCAGGCCTGCCCATGCTCGGGGCGTGGGACACCATGGACAGCAAAGTGCAGGGCGGCCCCAGGTCCTCGCCCCAGCTGCCTGGCTCCGAGAGGCCGGGGCAGCCGCAGCCCCGGCGGACATGGGGGTGGGAGGTGGCACGAGAAAACCCGCTGGTCTGGCCCTCCTCTCACCTTCCAGTTTGCTCTCTGCTCTGGCCTGAGGCTCGGCCTTGGCCTCCTGATTCAAGCTCTCCTCGTTCTTGTTCTTGGAGGAGTGGGCTGCAAATGAGAAAGGAAACACATCTGGGGCTGCAGTGCCCCCCCACACACCCTCTCGGTCGGGCTGGTCACCAGCAGCCAGGGCGGCTGCCGTGGGAGGGGAGAGGCTGCCTGGGAACTACAACTCTGGATTCCAGTCCCACCCAAACCGTTGTTTCCAATTCTCTGCATTGTCACTAACTGGCTATGACCTTGGGCAAGTCCCTTCCCACCTAGGCCAATTTCCTTTCTGATACAACAACATGGTTGGTCCTGGGGGCAACAAACAGGATTTATTTCTTTGTGAGCCCACGTGATGGCTGCTTGAGTGCCGACTGGAGGGGAATCCTCCTCCACGCTTGCCGGGAGAGTGTGTGATCGGTAGGGATGTCTACAGTGGCCAGGGCATGAAGACGTGATGACAGGGAGATGTGTCTGCCATCCCTGCGCTGGATTATCTGGAAGGTCCTTTGCAGCTTACTTTCTATGAATCTACTGGGAGCTTCACTGTACCTCCAGGGGCACTGCTGGTAGCCATGTTCACAAGCCTTCCCTCTGCGGCGGGAAAGAGGAAATGGCTGCCCACCAAGCTCCCTGCCACACACCCTGGGACCCAGACACGGGGACCCAAACAGCGCCTCCTTCCAGAGGTCTGTGCACACGTTTCGCCGGAGGCGCGCAGTGCACTGTGTGCAGAAGGGAGCCGCCCTGATTTCCAGGCAGGGAAAACGAGGAGGGCAGGTCTCTTTCGGGGGGGCTGTGTTGCAGGAGACATGCAAGGTGCTTTGCAGGCGTAACTTCAGTGGGAGACAGAGAGTAAGGTGCAGGGGCTCTGTGGGGCCCCCTCACAGCCATGTCGTGGGGCGGGGTGGGGGGGCAGTGTGGGGTGAGGATCATGCTACAGATGACAGAACCAGGTGCTGCCATGGCATCTCTCCTGAACTCCATGTGGGCCCTGCCTTGTGAACGCCGGTGACCTTGGAAAGCCGGGGTTCCCCTCCCTGAGAAGGCGACACCATGATATACTCAGAACAGTGATGTGGGGATCTGTGAGTCAAAATAAATAAAAATACTTTAATTGCTGCAATTTGATATTATTATCTTAGCTCAGAACCTGGAACCAGCCAGCCTGGACTTGAATCCTAGTTCTGCCACTTGCTGGCCGTGGGCCAGGCTGGGTAATTCCTTACCCTCTCTGTTCCTCAGATTCTTCGTCTGTGAAATCTGACAGAGTTGTTGAAGGAATAAATGAACTTATATATCAACTTGCTTACAACAGTGCTGGGCACCCAGAAAGTGCCACACCAGTGTCAGCTGTGACAATCACGATGAATTAACCACAGTAGCTGAGAGCAGCTGACCCACAGCGTCTGCAGTCATGAGGCTCCACATTCCAGAGGGTTTGGGTCAGACCCTGAACATCCTCGAGTCCATAATCCAGGGGGACTGAGCAGGTGCAGTCTGGGAAACTGGGTGGGTCAAACTCTGCCTGGGTCCAGCATGGGCAGGAAACATAAGAGGTCTGGAATTTCCTCCTCTCAACCTGCCTCCTGAACTCTCAGAGTAGGCTCAGCTGCCGCTGCCTCTGGCAACAAGCTCCGTCCTGCAGAGCCATCTCTCTGGCATGTGTGGCCCCTCGAAGTGTCCTGGCGGGCCTGCCCAGGAGGTCCTCATCAGAGCTGAGGTGTCAGGAAGCGGGTACTGCACTGCCTCCTTCACCCAAACAAGCCCAGCGCCCCCTTGGCACCGACCGAGCACTGGCACCTTCTGCCAAGCAAGAAGGGCTCCTCCAGGTCCAGTCCTGGCTCTGGGAGTATCTGCTGGCTGTTGGCTGGAGGGCCTGGCAAGAAAACCAAGCTCCCCTCTTTCCTTTTCACCGCTCACCACACGGCCTACCCTCTCACTGCGCATGACACCAAGGAAAGCAGGTGAGGTACAGGGTGTCTCTCTCTCCAACACACACACACTCGTCCGAGTAAAATCACAGAAGAGGCGTGGGATCGCTGGGCCCCGGGAGGTAAAGCCCCTCCACAGGCTGCGAGTTCGGACCACAGATCACTCAGGGAAGAGCTGGAACGCCTGAAAAGGGTGGAAACGTCTGACTGCCCTTTGGAAGCAGCCTATGGGAGCACAGCCACGTGTCTGGAAAGTCTTGGGAATGAAGGCCTTCATCACAGCCCTGGGCGGTGCAAGCCCCCTGGATGGAATCTCGGGGTGCAGAACCAGGGCTGGCTTCTCGGAGCAGGACTGTGTCCCAGCGCATGCCAGCGATCATTCTCGGTGAGGGCCGTCCATGCCTCACAGGCATACAGTGACCACACATGACTGTCTTCCCAGGGACCACAGTCACTGGCTCCCCAGAGCTCATTCCCTCACACGGCCTCTCAGCTCTCATTTCGGCGGATCATCTCCTTAGTATCAATCTCCTCCGACCTCGGCCTGGCCTGGACATCACATAATCCTGTTAGGACAAGTAGGCCAGCTGGCAGCTGCTGGTCTCGGATGTGGCCTAGGCGGGAGGGCCCTGCCATCCCACTGAGAAATCTTTAAGACTTTGCCAGAGTCGGCAACTCCCTGAGGAGCAGCCACGCATCACCCAGAGAAGCAGCTCCCCTCATGGCGCAGCAGCACCGGGAACACATAGGCTGCCGGGGGCTGCGGCCCACTCTCAGACCCCAGCGGTCCTGTGTTTCTGGGGCTGACGCTTGCAGATGGCCGCTCTCAGTGTCCACCGAGGCTCGCATTAAGGGTTTTCTACAGAAGGCTTGATCACCTTGCCTTTCACTCTGCTCTACACAGGACACTATACTTCTTTTAAACACCCAAATTCCACTATTATGTCTGAAGAAGATACTTAAGGGCTTGAGGAATTTCTGAGCCTGCCATATTTGTCCCAGGACCAGAAAGGTTGGTCAGAGTGCTCCCTGGGGCTCAAAGGTCTCTACTGTCACACACGGCTCAGTCCTCCACCCGCCTGCCCAGCTGTGACTCCGACCCCTTGGCTTCTGCCCAAAGGCCCACCTTCCCTTGATGGGCCTTCTGCCTGCGCTCCCAGTGCTGCACCAGAGCTCCAGGGATGGGGGGAGCGGGGGACTCCAGGAGAGCAGGTGCATACCTGAGGGGTGCCTTGTGGGGCCCTGAGAATCATGTTGGGGGAAGCTCTTTGGAGAAGGAATTGGTGAGATGGATGGTGAGGGTCTCAGCTGCCTCAATCATTTGTCAAGTTGGACATCAGCCCTCACTGCCCTTTGGACCCTCAGCATCCCCAAAAGAGGTCCTGCCAGCTTCCAGGATGTCCTTTGGGACTCCCAGTGTGGGGCGGCATGGCGGGGGAGCCTTAGCAGTCTTCCTAGGACACCAGGGCTAAATGCAGAGCGAAGGGAAGTGCCATCAGGCTCCTGGCACCTACAGGAGGTTCCCCTAGATGTGACCCTGGCCAGTCGGCCGAGCCAAGCTGCCTGGCAGGAGACTCTGTGGGACACAGGAGCCAACTTGTGGGCAGTGGGCTGCGCAGGGAAGGTGCTGAGGGCAGCCCCAACGTGGGCTGTGCCAGCGTGTGACACTCGAGGCTCACAGAGGCAGGTGAACCTCCTCATTTTACAAGAGAGGACAGACAGGCGAGCCAGGAAATTGTGGATATGGATACCTAAGGGCCGTGGCTCCTGGGGGTGCTCTCCCCTACCAGGGAGTTCCCTGTCCTTGTCTCCACCCTGTCTCCCAATCTGACTACCACCCGCTCTCCTCTGCCACCTCTCTGTTCCCTCTCCCGCCCTCACCCCACCCACTGCTTATCAGTTTTGCGGGTCCCAGTTGTCCAGCTGCAGGAGGGACGGAGTGGACAGGGAGATCACGCAGGTCTGGGGAGGCCTTGCTTACCTTCCCCCAGGTCCAGGCTGTGGAGCATGAGCCAGTAGATGGTGCTGCGGATGGTGCTGTTGTGCAGAGAGGCTGAGCTGCTCCCTCGGGTCAGCACGGAGGTGAGCTGAGCAGGAGAGAGCAGCACAGGCCTCAGTGGGCCCCTGGCCGAGCCCAGGGAGGAGCCACCCGAGGGCCTCCCTCCCGGTGAGATCAGCACAAAAGCACGGGAGCCTCATCCTGGCCTCCCTCGTCCTGCACCTCAACCAGGAGAGTTACACTGCTGTCTGTCTCAGCCTCCCTTCCACGCTTCCATGACCGACTAATTCTACCGACTGAATAACTCCCTGAGGTCCCAGCCGGGAGCAGCAGGCGGTGCGTGCTGAGGATAGCACATCACCAGGGGTTTGTCCATCGCCCAAGAACAGACTCCGAGAAGCACACACTCCCCCACACACCACACAGACAGAGCTGCGCAGTCCACAAACAGCACTGTGGGGCTGTAGCACTGCCGCATTCCCAGAGACAAGGCTGTGAGCCCCTTCTACAGGACAGGAAGGGAAACTCAAGGAGTTCATGAGGGGTATAAATGAAAGTCAAGGCTGGCACCTGGGTCTTCTGATTCCCGTTTCAGATTTCTTTTTTTTTTACCCATGTACTCTAGAACCTTCCCAGGCACACACATACACAAATCTATAGGTACAGACACAAAGATGTGACACACTTATTCACAGCGACACACACAGATTTACAAAGGAGCATCCAAAGACAGCAAACACTCGCAGCGTCCTCCGTCCACCCCATCCCTCTGCCTCTGAACTCTTCTGCCATCTAGTGGCTGTGGTAACACAGTACTTTAAAACGGGCCCAGGGATTCTCTCTCCTGATGGGGGAGATTTAGTTCAGACCCAGCCTCTCCTCTCTAAGGTCTCCATACTTCTTCACAGCTACCCCATAGGCCAAAGGCAGCTAAGACAATTTTTCAGAAACTCCAGACTCCCCTGCCCCCAGTGCCCCTCTGAAGGCTCCCCTAGCCCTGGGCATTCCAAAGCCACAGGTAATTAGGCTTTTGATCGATCACAGCATGTTGGGGTTACAAAGCTGGACGTGAGTTCATCTAGTCCAGTTGTCCTACAGGTGCAGAACCTGAGGCCCCAGCTCATCCAGTGGGCTAGTGGCAAAGCGAGCAGTGACAGGCTAGCTCCCAAACTGGCACCTTCTCCAAGGCCACCTGGGGTTGCGAGTCCCTGGTATAGGAGCCCACTCCTCCCCTGGCTCTCCCTGGCGGCAGCCCCAGGAGCATGCCGGGCCGGAGCCCAGCCCAAGATGCCCAGCATCAGGACCACAGTGCCCTGAGTCTGAGGCTGTCCTCTGAGACCCCACAGTGCCCTCGCAGGCAGATTCCACATGGCACCCACCTTCAGCTTCTTGTTATCCTGTAGCTCATCCTCCGCAACCGCCCCATCACCTGGCTGCAAACAGGGACAGCAGTCACAAGACATTCGGAGAGACCCTTGCTTTCTCCTTCCTTCCCTCTCTCTCCAGGAGGCCCTCAGCTTGGAACACAGAGACACACCCAGAGACAACCCAGCCTTCCACAGCCCAGCTGCAGCCTGCACACATCGCTCCCACTCAGATGCGTCCACTCACTGCAGCCCAGGGACACCGCCTGTCTTTCAGTCTCCCGGATGTGCCGTCCTCTTCACCCACCTTGAAACCATGATCATAGGGTGCCCACCTAGTTCTCTTTTATAGACTTCTATTCTTTTCCTTCATAACACTTTCCCACTTTATCTATGTTAGTGGTATGTTAGCAAACATGCAAATAAATCTATTGCCCACGAGCATTTTGAAGGCAGACTGCCTATTTCATTCGCCCTGTGTGTCCTGCATGGAAAGAGTGCAAGGGTTCAATAAATATTTGTTAAATGAATGAATGGCCTTCTAAATATACCTAATCTATTCCAACTTCTGTCACCTTGTCCATGCCTTTCCCTCTGCCTAAAATGTCTTCTCCATACCTCTGCCAAATTTTTAGAAAATTCAGGGTAAATTGTTTTTATTCTTTTTAAAATATTTTTTAAATTTTTATTTATTTTTTTTTAGAGAGAGAGGAAAGGAGGGAAAGAGGGAGAGAAACATCAGTGTTTGGCTGCCTCTCATGCATCCCCTTCTGGGGACCTGGCCCACAACCCAGGCATGTGCCCTGACTGAAAACCGAACCTGTGATCCTTTGGTTTGCAGGCCAGCACTCAATCCACTGACTGAGCCACACCAGCCAGGGCATCTTTTTATTCTTTTAATGCTTACCCAAGGATATGTTTACTGATTTTTAGAGAGTGGAAAAATATCTCACATCAATATTTTTCTCCCCAGAGAGAGAAATATCAATGTGAGAGAGAAACATCAAGCAGTTGCCTCCCATACATGACCCAACCGGGGATCGAACCTGCAACCTAGTTATGTGCCCTGACCATAACTTTTTGGTCGGTGGGACGATGCTCCAACCAACTGAGCCACCTGGCCAGGGCCAGGGTGAATTCTTTCTGATACAAAGCTTTCCACCTCACCCTCATTTCAGTTCACTCTGATCTCTCTTTCTCCTAAAAAGCTATATAACAACACTGAGCACATTTTTGTGAGGCCAAAGTCTGGCTCTGTAAAAAAAGTAAGAGCTAGTGTCCTGGGGAGCTGCAGAGCAGTCAGCTGAGAAGTGGGACAGCCCTAGAATCAAGATGAAGGCTCATTAAGTGCACAGTATGTACTGTCTGGACCACCAGCTTGCCACTTTGTATTTACTGTCATTTAAACTTTTAAAAATGTATTGTTTAACTTTTCGCATATATGAGTTGTCTACCTAGCTAGACTTCTTATTTTGGGGGCCATGAAATGAACTTACGATATAGGCATCTCTGTGCCACTGACCTGTGGCACAGTGTCTTGTGCACAGTAGGTACTCACAAAGGTGAGTGACTAGATACTCCCAACTGGCCTCTAGCGCCATCTTCAGGCAGCGAGGTCACTAACAGCTGCCCCCAGTAATGTCTTCACCTTCTTATTGCCTCTTGCACCCCACCAACCTCCACCGCCAGAACCAGAACTGAAATTGCTACACTCCCTTTTCTGTTCACTCAGAAAATTGAGAAAATACTGCCTGAGCTGGGACTACCCACTCCCCATCCACCCAATATGTTCATTCATTTAATTCTTGTTTCCCAAACACCCGCTTGCTTACATCACGCTGTGCTGTAGGGATTCAAAGATGCTTTAGGACGCAGATTGTATGTCCCGAAAGGAATTAAGGCAAATGACCACACAAACACATGACAGATCAGAATGTGTTTCAAGAAATGAGAGGGACAGATAAAGGTGCTGCCAGGATGGACAAGGAAGGCTTCCTGAAGTGAACAGAATTTGGGTAAGTGTTGAAGGATGCGGGAGGTCTGAATGCTTGGATACACAGAGAGTGAATGAACAAATGATTGAACAAATGAACAAATATACAGATGAATTAAAGAGTCTTGTTTCTATGGTGTGGTGAATATCACATTTGCCTCACAAATGAATGTAATGGAGTAGAAATAACAAATGTGGATACGGAGCGGGGCACTGTGGGTTTTCTGAACAAATCACTACCTTTTTCCCAACATACCTGTAAGTGCACTGGGATGCTGGGATCTATAGCGCCGCCCCCACTGGCCCAGCCACCTCCCTGCACATCATACCCAACCTTCATCCAATGAGTTCTTGGAGGCAAAGAATGATTAGGAGCCAGGACACTATCTGGGATGGCTGGTTCTGGCCCAGAGGGGCAGGGGAGACACACTTTTGTCCCCTGATGCTCAGGCCTACTGATTTGTCTGCAACTCTGATTTACTCAGCCCAACTACTTCTCGATGGGCTCATTGTTCACGGCACATCTCTCTAACCTCAGTATGCACCTTAACTTTCTGAAGCCCCTCGCATCCATTCTCTCATTCAATACTGGTAACTCTATGAAGTAAACAAACTAGTGTTATTATTGCCATTTTGATAGATGAGAAAACAGAGGCAGAAATATTCTGTGACTTGCACTCACAAAGATAGTGACAATCCCAATCTCCTAACATCCCTTCATGGTTTTCATTGCTGCTGTTGTTTTTCCTAAATCACATTTCTTTTCCCAAGTATAATAAGAACATGAGATCAAATCTACATTCCCTAGTGTCTCTGTTTCAGATTATTGAGGTAAATGGACATGATGTTTGCCTACATTTGGGTGTGGCTGAGGGCTCATTCATGGGTACAGTGCCAGCAGTAGGTGCTGTCGAATATGCCCTTATTATAAACACACTCCCACGTCCACCTCTCCCTCCACACCATTCTCCCTCCTCTCCCTTCAGCCTCGCCACCCCACTTTTCCCTTTTCCTCATGAAAATTAGCAAAGGGGCTGAGGAAACTGAAGAGGATGTCTTCATGCCCGCCACCTGTGATGGATGTGTCTCTCTGGGAATGAGCAACGGGTCCCTTGCAGCTAGATACTCATAGGAACCTGGGGAGGAAACATGGTGGCCCCTCAGGGGGCGTGTCCTCTGGATTTCCAATTTCTATCTCCCACTGATGTAGCAATTAATCATTGAATTCTCCCCTTCTAGACACACATCCCTGACGCATTTCCCTAAGCACACATTAGTCAGACTTTTACAAAAACATTCATTCAGCAAACATTTACTGAACCCCTGGTCTGAGTCCTGCCTTTACCCAGGTTACACTCTGGGTGGGGACCCTTCACTGAGCACAGTCTTCCACCCTCATCCACTCATTTTGATCCACTCATGTGTCTAGGCTGGAAACCCAAGACTCTCCCCAAACTCCTCCCTCTCCCTCACAGCCCACATCCAATTAGCTATCAGACCTAGTCCTCGGGAGTCCTCAAATCTGGCCTCATCTTTCCACTCTCCTGCCTACATTCCTGCAGCAGCTCCTGACTTCTGATCTGTTCTTCTTCTGGTTCATTTTCTACCCCTCAGCCAGTGATTTTCAGAGCAAAGCACATCATGTCCCTCCCCTGCATCTTGGGGGCCCACTGTCTTCAGAAGGGAGTCCAGACTCCTTAGCTGCGCACACACCAGCCTGCTGCTTTCCTCCAGTCCAGCTCTGTCTAACAGAAACAGAGGGCAAGCCCAGTCAAAACAGGTATAGTTCTTTGAGTTATTTGGACTCCTTTCTAGCAGACAGCAGTTAGTGTTGGGAAGTCCAAACTACAGGTGTTTAATTTTAAATAAATATAGCTTTGTCTTCAAGGGTAGCCAGTAATTGAACCTGCTATTTTAAAAAATAATTCTGTTAATCAAAACTCATCCCGGATCTGTTTCAACAAACAGCTAAGCACAGAGGTGCCCCACTCTCACTGGCTGGCAAACAGCTGCTATGGGAGCCCTCGGACAGCCTCTGAAATCGGTCAAAAATTCTCTTTTGAAATCATGATCATGCTTCACGTCCTTGGCAAGCTTTGCTCTGATGAAATGGAAAATTCAGAATTTGTAGAGTTTAAATAAAAACAAATTTACTATGAAGGACTGGGAGGCAAGTTAGGGACCTTTTGACAACTGCTGACCTGACGTGCACCGGGCATTAGATGCTCTCCACAGAGGAGGGTACCAGGCTCCACGGCCACCCAGAGCAAGGCCTACCCCAGAACTTCGCTAGAGGGAGGCTCCTGTTCCTTCACAGTGAGTGATGTGATACTCTGGGCCTCCCTTTCTTTTTTAAGCGGCTGGCTTCCTGGAGCAGTAGCCTGGTGGGAAACAGAGCTGACTGGGGGTGTTAGGATTCTGGATTCCAGTTCTGATACCTGCTGGACTGTGTGACCTTGGGCAGAACATTTCTCCTTTTTGGGCAATCTGCAAATACGGCCACTGGGCCTCGGTTGATCAGATCAGACAAATAACCATTGTGCTGGGCCTGCCAGAATTGAGCTCATCCGGACACAGGACATTATCAATGAATGTTAGAACTAGACAAGACCTTTTGGTGATTAGCTGGACTTTGTCACTTTCCCAAAGCAGGGAAGGAACCTGTCCAAGGTCACACAATCAGAGGCAGAATTGGAGTAGAAGCCAGGTTTCCTGCCTCTCAGTTCCGTGCTCCAGCCACAACACCACATTATCTTGAAAACCCTAAAGGAAGCACACTTTATCTCCTTTGCGTCCTGTTTCTCCCAGACATGCTTCTGAGTTCAGTCTCCATCTTGCCCACTCATCAAAACTGCTCGGGATTAAGTAGCTAAATCCATATACTCTTTGCACGCAAAATTTTGCTCACACCAGGGGCTTCTCAAGACCTGGAACCACCAGGCCTTGAGCCAACCTTTGCCCGAACTCGGCCTGTAGGAGTCTCAAGGAGTAGACTATACCTTCAGGTGAATTTTCAGAGATGACTTCCCCGATTTAATCTTCTAGATTACTGAATCATGCAATGAGTTTTCTAAGAAGGTCCCTCATGGGTACAGAGAATTTCTTGGAAAGCAACTTTGGGGCCAGGAGAAAGCCCCAGAGTTTGCGCTCCTGGTATCTAGTCTCCTGTCCGCACAGAGAGCGGCTCTGCACTCAGGGCTGGCTTGTCTGTGGATAAGTGGAGCGCCCACCTTCTCCACTATTTTAAAAGCAAAATAAAGTCAAAATATTCTCCCCCCTTTTTTCTCAGACCCCATCCAAGCCATCAGACCCTCCAAGTCTGGAATGTGAACAAACAGGACTAAAGTGAGGGCGCTAGGTAAACCCTAGACACCACACACATGGAGAGTTGATCACTTTTCCCTGCCTGGCATCTTCTTGGACATTTCCCAAAGCCCAGTTCAAATGTTATTCCAAAGACCCAGTCAGACCAAACTGGGCTCAAACCCTGACTCCAACACCTATTTGCTGTGTGACTCTGAACACATGCGGTTGGGTTTCATTAGGCCTCAGTTTCTCCCCCTGCCAAAGAGGGATCATAACAACAACCATTTTAGAAGATGATTGGGTGCTGAGCCAAGGTCGTTCTTGGCAAAGGTCCCAGCATAAGTGCCTGGAAGAGAGTAGGTCTCTAAATGTTGAACGAATAACAAGAGAACCAGAGCACCCATCTCTCTAGGTGTCTGACCCAACGCTTTCTATTGTTTAGTCCTGGCCTTCCCCCGACCCTTTTGCCCCAAAGGGGCTACAGAAGCCTGAGCTAGCCTGTTCTCACCTTGCTGAAGTCCCCTAGGGCCATGACCTTGGCCACTGGCCTCCTGCTGAGCTGCTCCTTCATCCAGAGCTCGAGCTTCTTATTCCACTTCATGGTGAACACATAGAAGGCATAGGCCAGCAATAGCAGCAGGCTCTCCCACCAGACAATGAGGCTGTCCAGGAAGAAGAGAATGAGCATCATCAGGTCAAGGATGTAGAAGGAGACATCACGGAATAAGGGCCACCAGGTGAGGTTGAGGATCTCCCGGGAGAAGAGGGCACAGGTGCCGATGACAAAGAGGATGTTGAACACAGCAGAACCCACAATGGTGCCAATGCCCACATTGCTGTGGGAGATGAAGACGCCAATGAGGGAGGTGAAGAGCTCGGGGGCAGAGCCTCCGGCAGCCATGAATGTGGCACCTGCCACGTCCTCAGAGATCTGCAGCTTGTCTGTGATGACGCCCAGGGCCGGCACAAAGTACTCGTCACACACGATGGCCAAGGCCACAAACACATACATCATGCCAAAGATGTGCAGGACCACCCAGCCCTGCCGCCGCTCCTCCAAGCTGAACAGGTCTGGGGGGTACTCTGCCTTGGTGTGGTGGTCCGGCTGGCTAGGGGGCAGCGCTGAGGGACGGGGCCTGGCCGTCTCTGCGGGCAGGCCCGTTGTCAGGCTGGGGGTGGGGAGTGTGGGCACAGCTGGAGCTGGCTCCACAACCACACAGTGACGAACCTGGGTAGTCGGGTCTGCCTTGGCACTGGGGGCTGCTGAGGTGCTCGGTGCTGTGGAAGGTTTCTTCGCCAGCCCCCAGAAGGTGGCTAAGGATATTCCCATGGTTGGTGCGGTGGTTCTGGACGAGAGATTCCTAACCGTCCAAGCAGTAGTAGAGGCTTTGGTTGTTGCTGGGCTGCTTCCTGTTGTGGTGCTAATCGTCACCTGCCCCTCAAAGATGGCTGCAGTGGGCTCTAAGGCCGGTCCCTGGGAAGTCGTCAGGTTGTCCTTTCCCACTAACCCCTGAGGGTTGGTCAAGCTGTTATTGTCCATTCTTCTGGGGGTAGACAGGGTACTCTTTTCCACCACACTCCAAGGAGAAGTCAAGATGTTTGTTTCTATATCATTTATCAGGAAAGTTGGGGTGTTATCAGTTACTCCCTTCAGAGTAGTAGGGGGGGTTTCCTCCACTGTTCCCTTGGAGGGGCTGGTCTCCAATGCTTTGTAGGTTGCCACAGTTTCACTGTCTTGCACTGTCATTCTGGGGGTGACCCCATGTTTTCTTGCCATTGTCCTGAATGTAGACAGGGCAGTGTTTACTACTCTACCATGTGGAGATGGGGTGTATTTTCTCACTTTTCCCCTGGCTTGAGTTGGGTGGTAGTGCTTCACTTTTCCCCTGGGTGTTGTTGGGGTGTAATTCTTTGCTGTTGATCTGCTTGCTCTTGAGGCGTACTGACTCAGTACTCTACTTGGTGTAGTTGGGGTGTTTCCCTTCACTCTTTCTGTGCCTGCTGCTGTTGGGCTGTAGTTGTTTTTGGGTATTGTTGGAGAGGTGTTGGCGGTTGTTCTGGGTGTGCTGGGGGTGTTCTCCATTGTTATGTCAGGCGTCACTTCCTCCTTACCCATTGTGGCTTGGGGTGTCAGTGTCTCACCCTCCATTTCAGAGCTAGCTTTTAGAGGGTCACTGCTCCCTGTCACCATCTCGTTGGGAAGGTCCCGGCTGGCCAGTTGTACAGGGTGTTGGGAAGAGAATGCTGCCCACAGTGAGGGGAGGCCCCGGGGGCTCCTCAGGTGTTGGTAGGTGGAACCAATGATCAACATTCCCAGGAGAAAGAGGAAGCGACTCCATTGAAGCCGTTTTGGCCGAAGTAATGGCCTTTCCTGCGTCCCCATCCTGATCAATTTCCCCATGATGACCAGTTAGGCCGGGTTACAGAAAGCCTCTCATTCCATCCACTGAAAGATGGGGGCTGTTCTGGGATTCAGAGGGATGATCAGGGAAGATTTCTCCATGAAGCGCAACTAAGAGATATCCACAAACCTAAAGGAGAAAAAAAGAGAGGAGGAGAGATTTTATTTGGGATCCACCAAACCCTTACCTGGAAAAGAATAACGATTCATGCAGGGGCCTTTGTGGTGGAAGACAGTTGTTTCTATTGGAGCAAAACTGCCTCTGCCCCCTGCTTGAGGGAGCAATGCCTGCTCCTGGGGAAAAGAGCACGGAGGGGTCCTCTGTGCTGGGCAGGCAAGCCAGCAGCCCAGGCTCCTGAGCCGGGTCCACCAAGGTCTGCCAGCACTCCTCGGGTCCAAGCCAGAATTGCTGGGAGCTCAGTCATCACTAGCTGGTGCCATAGGCCACAGACCTCTCCTTATCAGTGGCATAAGGGAGGTAAAAATATACGGTTTTAAGCTTTAGATGAAAAGAGGCAACAGTGGAAGACAATGCCAGAGACGTAAAAATTCTGCATGTTTTTTTCAGACTGACTTAAAACAATTCCACCATATGATCCAGAGAGGACAAAGCTCAAAAGTTAATGTCACGAAAGTTTCCAGGCAGTGTGATGCAGTGGGAAAAACATGGAGAACAGAGTCAGAGGCCTGGATTCCCAGCTCTGCTACTTGCCAGCTGTATCACCCTGGGTGAGCTGAGCCTCAGTGCCTCATCTGAGGGTGAAATGGGTATAACACCTATGTTGATTATGCAAAGCTGACCTCTGGAAGGACGTCTGGAGAAGGGAAACTAAAGGCCAGGGATCAAAAGGAGACTTACTTTTCAGTATACATTATTGTTCAGTTTAACCTTTTAACCTTATTATTATATAGATCACGTTTTTATTTTAATTTAACTTAATAGAAATAACAGTAGTAATAACATCTAGCTATATGTACATAGTGATAACAAGACCTATGCCATAGGAATGTTGGGAGGGGAAAACACACAAGGTCTGTGAAAAGCACGGCGCAGAATCGGGCGCTACATGAGGGCAATTTTACATAAGGACACAGGAGTGTCCTTATGAAAAGCCCTCCAAGAATCCTCAGTTTACAAAGAAGGGCATGGAGGCCCAGCCCAAGTAAATATTTATTAAATCGCTCATCCATGTTCACAGATTATTACAAAACAGCAACTAGAAGTGACCAGTTTTGCATGTGAAGTAATCTGTTAGAAGTGAGATGAGAGACCCATACAATCTTCGGTGGTGAAAGGTAGAAGGAGTTGCCGACACTGCTTCATGTAACTCCTCATTCGGGACACGAACACACGGAGGTCCAGAGAGGTGTGACTTGCTGTAATGCCCCAGTCTTTCCAGAGTACCACAGTACAGATGCAAATGCAACTGTTTTAAAAAGCAAAAGAGGGACTAGCAAAAGGAGAACTACAAAATAATTGATTTTCCTTCTTTGTCCTTGATCCCTATAATTGTCTTTCCACCATCTCCCTGTCCACCCTGTCCCTTGCCATAAACTCAACACTTCGAATCTCCTAAGAAAACTTCGGAGGCTCTCTCCCTTTCTGGTATGCCAGTGTCTTGTAATGTAGCAGACCTCGCATCCCAGCTGATCGGTCCTAGCTAATCACATCATTTACCTTCAAACCTGGACATCTGGGTGTCTTCTCAGTTCTGAAAACTTGTCAACCCAGGGTCTCAAAGAGTGGGTCTGAAGCTGGACAGCAGGGAACACCCCATTCTCCAGCCCCAGCTCTCCTATGGATCCTAAGTTCAAGGTGGGGCCCGGTGTGAAGGGCACCTCAGAGGAGGGATACCCAATCCCTGCTAATGCCGCCTCTAAGAAGCTTATCATGACATCGTGCAAGTTCTGGGTCCTTGCGCCTCCGCCAGAGAATAAGAGGGTGCACCTTCCACCAGGGACACAAAGGGGCCCCTGCAGTCAAGGGGAAACTGGGAGAACTTCTCAAACTTGCTTCTAAGCTCTGGGAATGAGAGGTGGTCTGCGTTTTCCATGCTTATGGGAAGGAAATATTTAGAACTTTGGCTCTGTCGGAACCAAGAGAAAGTCTTGGGGCTTAAGAGGTCAGAAGACCACAGCACCAGGCTCCATTTGCTACTGTGTGATTCTCAATGTAATTAATCTAAATGTAAATGTGGAGATGATAATACCCGGCCTACCTATTCGTAGGGTGGATGTGAGAATCAAATTTTTAAATGAGCAAATATCTGCTCAATTTTGCTGTGAACCTAAAACTGCTCTAGGAAATAGTCTATTTTTTAAAAAAAAAATGAGGGAATGTAAGGAAGATACTTTACAAATTTTAAAGCATATCACATATACAACTATCTGATTAGAACTACGGGAAACCCTTGGGGAAGAGGGCACTGACAGATCCCACCAGAGCAGACTGCAACACCTCAAGATACCCCAGGAGATGTGTCTCCAACTCAAGGCTGGAGCCAAAGGAAGTGGGAGTGAAACCAGGCAATTGGGAGTGTCATGCTCCTACCCACGAACCTGGCAGCCACCTCAATCATTCAGCTGACTCTGCCTGACATTTACTGATTGCTCCTTTCTCACCTCCCGGTTTCCCCCAGTGTTCATGGATAGCATGCCGCTTTGATTGCTCTCCCTGGAAATAGCAGGTAGCCCCTCCCAGCCTCCCACCTGCTCTACTTCCCCCTGAGTGGCCTATAACAGTGAGAAGTTACCAGTTTCTTCTCCCGAAGCACACAGAGGTGCCTGCCCTGTAGGAAAGCTGTCTGCATCTCTGGGTGTCCTGGAGTCACTCTGAATGTTGGAAGCCTTAAGTAGAGGGGCTGAGCCCTGCTCATTACCACATCCTTGCCTTCAGACTCCTGCAGGCAGAACCAGATCTAGTTACTTTGCTTCTTGCATAAACTATCCGACAGTCTCAACCTGGTCCAGAAAGATGGAAAAAGGAACCCAATTCACAGGGTGGAATATTATTTAGCACTAAAAAGAAATGAGCTATTGAGCCATAAGCAGACTTGCAGGGAATTTAAATGCATATTACTAAGCAAAAAAATTCTAATCTGAAAAGGTTAAAACTGGCCCTGGCTGGTATAACCCAGTGGATTGAGTGCCAGCCTGCAAACCAAAAGGTTGCCGGTTCAATTCCCAGTCAGGGCACATGCTTGGGTTGCAAGCCATGTCCCCAGTAGGGGGCACGTGAGAGACAACCACACATTGATGTTTCTCTCCCTTTGTTTTTCCTTCCCTTCCCCTCTCTCTAAAAATAAATAAAATTTAAAAATCTTTTTTAAAAAAGGTTAAAATTGTATGATTCCAACTATACGGCATTCTGGAAAAGGCAAAACTGTGGAGACAATAAAAAGACAGTGGTTGCCGGAAGTCAAGGGAGGGGGTGGATAAAAAGGCAGAGCACAGAGGATTTTTACAGCAGTGGAACTACTCTGAAGGATAGCACAGTGGTGGATACATGTCATCACACATCTGTCAGACCCACAGAAAGTACAACACCAATGGGACCCCTAAGGTAAGCTATGGACTTTGGGTGCTAATGATAAATCAACGTAGGTTCGTGGATTGTAACGAATATATGACTCTGGTATGGGATATTGCTAGACTGTGTGTGTGTGTATACAGAGTACATGGAACTCTGTACTTTCCACTCCATTTTGCTATGACCCTAAAACTGCTCTAAAAATAAAGTTTATTAATTAAAAAATAATTCCTGTCCTGGCCAGTGTAGCTCAGTTGGTTGGAGTGTCATTGTCTGTAGACCGAAAGGTTGAGGGACTGATTCCTGGTCAGGGCACAAACTCAGGTTGCAGGTTTGATTTCCAGTCAGGGTGCAAGCAAAAAAGCAATTGATTAATGTTTCTCCCTTTCTCTCTCCTTCCCTCCCTTTCTCTCTCTAAAAGCAATGAAAAAAAATGTCCTCGGGCGATGATTAAAAAAAGTGCTTATCTTTTACAGATACATACAGAAAACTTTATGGACAAAATGTTATCCAATCTAGAATGTGCATCAAAATATGTTGTGGGGGAAGGGAGTACCTGAGGATTTATCATGTTATTTCTTCTATCTTTGTTTATGTTTGAAATTTTCCAGTAATAAAATGTTTTAAGAAGAGAGATAGGTCATGACTACGATTTCTTTGGACATCCACTTTGGTGAAAACAGTGGAATGAGGATTGGGGATGGAGGAGAGGGGATAGCCTGCACCTTGGAAGTATGATTTGGGCATGGACAAGGTCCAGAATAGAGGAGGCAGGAAGGGAGACACAGGACAAAGGGCAGCAGAGGAGAGCAAAAGGGAGAGAACAGAAAAGGGATCTGCGCTCACTGCTCTCCCTGACCCTCTTTCTTCCTTTTTTCTTCACTCACTCACTCCTTACTCTTCATCTCTGTGGATGGAAAGTCATCTTGGGACTTGACAATGAAGATTCCAGGCACAGGACCATGGAATGCCAATTCAGTTGGCACAGCCTGGAAGTCTGCATTTTCAACATGTCAATCATTCTCAGTGATTTTATATTCACTGAACAACCTTCTGATTTTAATGGGACTCTACTAAGAATTAAAAGACAAAAACAGCCCTGGCTGGTGTGGCTCAGTGGATTGAGTGCCAGCCTACGAACCAAAAGGTTGCCAGGTCAATTCCCAGTCAGAGCACATGCCTGGGTTGCAGGCCATGTCTCCAATGGGGGGTGCATGAGAGGCAACCACACACTTATGTTTCTCTCCCTCTCTTTCTCCTTCCCTCCCCCTCTCTCTAAAAATAAATAAAATCTTAAAAAAAAATAAAAAACAAAAGCACTTGCCACTTGCCCTAAGTGATGCTGTCATCTTGGTAGTTTTACCTTTTATTGTCAATTTTAATAAATTGCTTTCTTACTTCCCTAGTCTCCTGAAAGCCTATATTCAGAAGAATTAGGTCACCAAGATCTCATCACCCATCAGCAAACTAGTAAACTTAAGCTTTAAGACTAAGATAACAAATTGGTCCATGGAACTGAGTTGGAACTACCAGAACAGTGACCCTATGGCTGAATCACCATCACATTAGGGGTAAGTTAGACAACTCCCTTGCCCACACATTCTTGGCCACATCCCTTCCATTAGGGAAAGAATTAGAAGTTACAAACCAAGTAACCAGGATGACACCTTACTTACCTAGATCCCAGTGCCTGCTCAAGCATAATGCACGCTTAAGATGGTAAGCCCAGCCAAGTTGGGGAGAGAAGTTCTGAAATAAATGGGCAGTCTGCAGGCCCCTGGGCCCTGATGCTGGCAGGAACATTCCCAGGGACTAATTTGTTTTCTTCTGAGGTCTCTAATATAAGGAGACAAGAAAGAACTACCAGCAGCTGGTAGTCTACACTGTCCCCCAGAACAAGCTGTGAAATGTCAGACTCAAGTTGTTCAGTTCACAGCATTCTCCCTCCTTGGCTCACCCTCAGTGTCAGCCCATCCCACCAACTAAAAGAAAAAGCGACAAAGGCTTAAGGCCTTCTAGAGGGCCTCCCTGTTCCCACTTGTAATCTCTATAGTACAACATGGTTCTTTGAACCACAACTACTCAGGGCCTGCTGGCATCCATCCATTCAGGCCTACTTCCCTAGCTGGCATGACTTCCTGCATGGTTACAGAGAAAGTTGCTTCTTGTCCCTTCCAGCACCTCCCTGAAGCACAGGCTGCGGAGGAGACACCAGGTATTCAAAGGCAAGTGGGTGAGGGCCCATGAGGCCTCATAGGAAAGTCAGGAAAGTGTGAGTGCAAATCCCTCAGCAATGCACCTTGGCCAGGGTAGGGGAACGGACGGTACATTCCCTCTGCTTCCCTGAAAGGAGTGGGGAATAAATTGAGTAACGTGGTGGGGGGATCAGGAGGAAAAGCCTTGCCAATGCAAATTGGCTCAGGCCAGATAAGAAAAATATACAGCGTGCTTACAGCACTCCTCAGGTAGGAATTATAGTTTACGAGGAGAGTGAAGAGGATTCTGTCAACTGGTTCAGAGAATATGAGCGAGGGATCTGAAGAGTGACAGCGGGAAGAAGAGGGGCAAATGTCAGAGAAGGTTGGACTGGCGGCACCTACAGGCCCAGGTGAACAGGAGACAAAAGCGTGGAGTCACAGAGTTCAGGAACGAGGGGAAAGTGGGCAAGAGGCCAGAGGTAAATGGGAGAAGAGCCCGGGGATGGCGACGGAGGAAAGGAAGAGGCAGGCACAGCTCAGGCTCAGCGAAATTGGAGATTTGTGAGAAGAGTCGTCGCAGCCAAACCACTACCAACAGAGGTGCCGACAAAGACGAACCCCAAGCACCCCCGCCGAGGCAAAGCCCAGCCGCACGCAGCCCTGGAAGCCCCGCCCCAGCCCCGCGCGCAGTCCTAGTGCCGGCGTTCCTCTGTGGCGCGGCCCTTTAGTTCCGGCTGTGGCGCGCGGGCGGAAAGTTTATGCGGACGGACTGTGCCGGCGTTGGACGCCGGGTGAGTGGGGGAAGCCGGGGGCCTGGGGTTGTGTTTCGTTGCTTGTTGGACCTGTAGGAGCAGGGGTCAAGGGTGGGGAAGAACAGGGAGCCAGCGCCCGGCCTCCCCGCCACCGCGGCTGCCGCTCCGCGCGGTCTCTGCTGCGCCAGTTCCGGGGCCCTGCTCCCGGTCTCCCCCTTTCTCTAGGGCTCGGGGGTCGCGGACTCTGCATAAACACACGATTTCGGTCCCCTGCCCAGGCCTCTGGCCCCGTCTTGCCATCTCCGCATAAGAGGTTTCTAGATCCTTCTCT